TTTTTAATAAGCTGGTGCAGCTTAATGGATGCTTAGCATAAATTGAAAATTGTGTTATCACAGCTTGTCCAGCAGAGCAGCTTCAATTCCTTTTTGCAATTTTCACATCCTTTTTTTTAGCGCATGTGGCAGAGAATGAATCACAGAGCAGATGTGAAGCAGTGCGTCACAGTAAGTTGCAAACGTGTTTGTGAAATACATTGCTGGAAAGTCAAAGAATGAACTCGTCATTTTCTTTTTTCGATGTAATCTGCATACTACATCGAACGCTTTAGGTACGCCTCACTTGTACGGGGTTGGACCCTCTCTTGCCTTCAGAGCTGCCTTAATTCTTCATGCAAGGAATCAACAAGGTGCTGGAAACATCGCTCAGATTCTGCTTCATATTGCCGTGATAGCATCGCACAGTTGCAGCAGATTTGTTAGCTCCACATCCATAATGCAAATCTGTTCCACCAGATCCCAAAGGTGCTCTATTGGATTAAGATCTGGTGACTGTGGAGGCCATTTGAGTACAGTGAACTCCTTGTCGTGTTCGAGAAATCAGTTTGAGAAATCTGAGTCTTGACAGGAAGTGTGGGGATGGAGGCAACCGTGAGAAGATGGGTACACTGTGGTCATGATCAGATGAACATTGTCAGCAACAATACTCGGGCAGGCTGTGGCATTTAAACGCTTAGCTTATAATAAGGGGGGCAAAATGTGACAAGAAAATATGCCCCACACCATTACATCACCTGAGCTTTGATACAAGTTAGGATTGATCCATGCTTTCATGTTGTTCATGCCAAATCCCAGCTTTTCTGAATCATCAGACCAGGCAACTTTATTATTTTTAAATTTAAAAATACATCTTCTATTGTGGTGAGCCTCTGCAAACTGTAGCCTCACTTTCCTGTTCTTAGTTGGACAGGAGTGGCACCAAAGTCTATTCTTCTGCTGTGGTAGCCCCTCTGCTTCCAGGTTTGATGTGTTCTCTTCTGCCATAGTTATTTTGAGTTACTGTTCCCTCCCTGTCAGCTTGAAGGAGTCACTCATCTATGACTGCTGGCATTAAGAAGGCATTTTCATACAGAGAAGTGCTGCTTACTGAATATTTTCTCTCTTTTGGACATTAAACCCTAGAGATGGTTGTGTGGGAAAATGCCAGAAGGTCAGCAGTTTCTGAAATACTCAGACCAACCCCTTTGGCTCCTACAATAATGCCGTGTTCAGAGTTACTTAAATCACCTTTCTTCCCCATTCTGATGCTCACTTTGAACTTCAGCATATCATCTTAATAATGTCTGGATGCCTAAATGTATTGATTTTCTGTCATGTGATTGGTTGATTCGATATTTACATCAAGCAGTTAAACAGGCGTACCTAATAAAGTGGCTGTTGAAAGTATATATGCAGAATCGAATCTCCTTATTTTTCCTGGCTAAAAGTCAGTATCAGACAGAGTGATGTATTCTACCTGTTTTTCTTTCTTATTGGCTTCCACTGCTCTCGGTTTATTATCTGCACTTAATGCGCTGTGTGATAGCTTGGCACCAGAGTAGCACCTTGAAAAACTGCAGCTGATGAAATTACACAGCATGTCAGTCATCTATAAATAAAGCAACACATTCAGAGCGATAGCAGCAAAGTTCTAATCACTTTAGTTCATTCTCCACAGAAAATCTTTTAACTTCCTGTGCTCTGCAGTTTCCCATTGCTGTTGCATTCAGTACAAATCAAAAAAAAGAAATGAAGACAATTGTGGAGGGTGTTGCGTAACGTCACAACATGATTCATGGTTCCACCCAGTAAGCGTCAGCTACAGTACAGCAGTACAATATAAAATTCTATTTCAAATGAATCACAGTGAGCTTTATGTTTGCTTTAGTGGCTCTCTACTGTGACTAGGCCATTGCAACACCTTGATAAAGCTCATTTATTTTTAAAAAAGACAAAACATAACAGTATTCAGATCTCAAAGAAAATACTAAACCGTGCTTCATATTAAGGGGAGGAAGCCCATACAGTATATGATGCTGATATCTTTTTAGCATCACCAGCCCTGATATACTGGCGAGCTGCTACCACCATTGACATGCCGTTTACCTTCTGAGAGGACGCTGATGGCATCAGAGTGGTGTTGCCCGTTTCCCATCATGTTCTTCTGTGATTCCTGGACGTGACTCTGGTAAAGCAGAGTAGTTCCCACCACAGGGTTATGGGAAGTCATGTTAGCTGCTGAAGTAGAGACAGAGTCCCAGACCAGCTCCCTCCTCTGCTGCAGGCTGAAGTCAATGTCAAAGCCTGTCCAGCCATGAAAGGCCAGGGTGTTAAGGAAAGCCTGCATGGGGTTCAGTATACCCTGAAAGAGTGGAATATAAAGGTTTTCAAGGGATTGCATGCAGGTTAAAGTAGCGTGCTGTACGCTGGTTTCCTGTTAAAACCCACCATGATAAACCATGTGATGAGCGCTGTGTTCCTGATATTCCTCAAACTATTGTCACTGATGTCTGTCTGCATCTCCAGGTAGAAGAGGAGGCTCTCATTAATGATGTTGGGAACCCAGCTAAAACATCGGAGAAGAAAAAACCCCCCACATCTTATTACAAGAACATTAAAATGTTAACGATGTTTCTTATTTACAAATCATTGAAAAGACCTAATGGTTAGGTATAAAAAGTTTGAAATCACAAATAATTGTTTTGCATGTTTTGGCCTGTTTACTGAAATTGAAATATTGAAATCTTTAAGCAGGCTTGGCTTTAGTTTCTGTGACTGTGTGAGTTTTAAAAATCAATTTGCCCTCAGGTTCATCCTCATAAACACAAAATTTAATGCAGTTAAATTTAAGTTATTAAAAGAATACTGGATTAATAACTTCTCGACCTAGCCTCCGAAATATAACCTGGCCTTTCTTACAGTGTGAAGTTGCCAAAAAACTTGCCAAGACTGATAATTTGCTGTCAGTGGAAAGAATTAGTCTGGATCACCCATCCATAAAACTACGTTTTTTTACATTCTGGTTTTTAAACCGGTTAAACCTTAGGCAGTATATAAAAGACGGGCATACAGTCATGGGAAAAAGGTTTCTCATTATTTTATCCAGTCCTGTGGAAAAATAAGTGCACCCCACGATTCAATAGCTTGTAGAAACACCTTTAGCAACAATAACTTGAAGTAATTGTTTTCTGTATGACCTTTGCAGTCTCTCACGTCAGTGTGGAGGAATTTCAACCCCATCTTCTTTACATCATTGCTTCAATTCATTGAGGTTTGTAGGCATTTGTTTATGCACAGCTCTCTTAATGTGTTGCCACAGCATTTCAGCACTGACGTCTGGAATTTGACCGGGCCATCACAAGACTTTTCTTTTTTAACTGTTCTGTTTTAGATTTTTTCAGCCAAACTTTAGTATGACAGATGGCCTTACATTTCACTCATTTCACAGACATTTTAATATTATGATATTTAGAGGAGTTCATGAACATTTGACATGCTAAATGAGGCCTGTAGAGTCCGATATCTAGCTAATGGGTTGTTTGCAATTAATCTGAGCATTACATGGGGTCTGTATTTTGAATTTCCTGGGGAATTGTGGCATTGTTTACACACACCTGGATGCTTCAGCCCAGCAAGCTACCAAAACTTCACAGAATAAACTTCACAGGTTATTCACAGGGTGTCGTTCGAGAGTTGGGGCTTTCTCCCAATTATTGTAGGATCTTTACTTTGAAACAGCTGTTGTTAGTGATTTGATGCTGTATAATAACATTGAATTGAACTGAATTAACAGTGGAAACACTTAGGTTGTTCTTAAAGTTCAGTGGACTCTTTGCCATTTTGTTTTGTACATAGTCACCATGAAACTGGGTTAGGTTTGAGGGGTGGAGCTGAATGAGAAATTGAGGACACGTCACACTGATATGGTAACAACTTCTAAACCACTTGGCAGCTGCACTCTATAATTGTCCATTTTTAATCCAAACAGTACCATGATTTTATAAAATGATGCTATTTTGTGTTAAAAGAGACATGAAAAAAGCAAACGAGACCAGAAACTCTTTAGCAAAGTGTTCACTCAGCTCAGAAATCAAGTGAGATTTTTCTGTATTATACGGTGCGGTTCATGGGTCAAACAAAGGTGATTTAACATGTTGATAGATTCATTTTGTTTCATCTTATCGGTGCATTTTCTGTCTATGTTAACAGGCTGCCGGCTCGTAGCACTAGATTTATATTTACTACATAGCAAGAAGCATTTATTTCCTTCCCAAAACTAGTTCTTAACTTACCAAATAAAGAACACCAGCATAATTTTAAAGAAGCGTATTTTTATCTCATTCGCCAGCCGCCTCTCATTTTCCGTATAGATTCCTTGTCGTCCTTTCAGCAAAGATGTCACTAGGCGAGAGAGATGAGAAAGCATCTTATTTCCCCTCATTTACATGTGTAAGAAGTTGCATTTGTCAGAGAAATTCGAGAGCGAGGAACTCACCAGTAGATACGGTCCGATTAAAAAACACAGGGTTGGCTATGAGAACGAGCAGCATCGGTGCGTATGTGGTGACATAGTGAGGAATAGCATGTTGGAGGCCCTGCTCACAGCTGGGAGAAGGAAAAAAACATGAGAAATAGTTCATTCAGCATCAAAAATCAACTTTGTGATAGTTAACAGAATTATTGTAATATTTCTCTACGTCAGAAAATGCTGTATTTAACACTTAATAAAAGCCATACAACAGCAGACTTTTTCTATGGAAATAATGACGTTTTTTAAGACATGGTTAGAATCACTGATATGTTTGATAAGTTCTCTGCTGTTATGTTATTGTGGCTGTTAATATGTGAACACGAAAATGTTAATTTTCTATTTTTCCACCAACGGATGCTTAAATGTGCCTGTCAGCAGGACAGCAGTCAGTGGTATCTTACTCAGAAATAGATGGATAGTACAGCATGGCCACTCCTTCAACACACAGCAGCACAGCCAGGCCCCATGTAATCATGTGGTAGAGTATAATGGTGCTGTTGGGGGAGAAGAAAAAACCAAAGTCATGAGACCAAGCTCACACTACGTGTTGTCGTTCTTTATCTTGAGGATATTTTTCCCCCATTTATTTGTTGTACAAAATGCAATTGAATAAGACTGAGTGGGGAGAGAAGTACGAGAGGCTTGTAAAACTCAGACTATAGCAACAATAGACAGCATGGAAACCTGCACCTTTAGTTTAGAATAAAAGAGTTGATTCAAACCAGTTTTATCTTGTGAAAACCAAAATATAAAAATACAGGTGGCAGTTGAGCATTTTGAGAGAAAAATGTTTCACACTCTGCTTGGTAAAAATATACTGCCTCATCTTGCATCCTATCAGAGGAGAAGCTAAGGTGATAATGAATTGCGAATGGAAGGTGAGGTGGGGGGAACCTGATTCCCGCAGATGTTTTCACCACCAGGAAGACGTCAACCGCATAACAAAAGGTCCACCAGAAAGAAGCGCTAAAAAACAACTGGATCCACATCTGCAACACATAAATTGCATGCCTTACACTTATTTTACAGATCATAATAACTGATGAAGATGTGTTGTTTACTTGGCTTATCAGCTATTTGTGTCAGGTGTCATGTGTGATGATGCATTAAACAAAATGACCTCTTCTGTGCGTGAAGTGAATATTATTGGAACGAACAAATCTAAGTGTATTTTTCTATAATAATTTTTCTAATGTAAAAGTTATTGCTATCCTTTTGTCTTAATAACTACACATCTCTGCTTGCAACATCTGTGTTATCAAGGCATATATAAGTCTATCTCACTATTGCAAAAAAATACATACTGCGCTGCCTACGCAGAAGACTTCTGGCCAGACATCAGTGTTGTTGACTACTGAGATGTGGTCGACGATGTTTGGCAGACCTAGCCACACAGATGATCTTACAATGACACCTGCAAGAAGGAAACAGTGCATGATATTTAATTGTAGCTGCTGAGGAGGAAATCCCGCTTTACAAGCAAATATAATTAAGGCGAAAACATTACCAGGAGATGTAAACTTGGTGTGGGTTTCATTACTTTTAAAACACCACAGATTTATTATTTTCAGCTTTTATTATTAAGTGCTTTGACTAATTAGATTTAAGTGGCAGCGTCCTTTCAAGAGTTATTTTACAATGTGGAAATATTAACGCCCACCAGGTGTGTTTTATAAGGGTGTTTCCATTTCCTCCATGAAACTTCCTAGCTTCACTGCCGAATGGAACAATGGAAGCACTCCCAGAATCTTTATTACTGTTCTGTATTTCATTTTAATCTGTGTCATCAGCGGGTTTCAAGCTGCTACCCTGCAGCGGTGCATGAATCTCCATGGGCACCAAGTACACAGAAATCAACCCATTTAGAAAAAAAACAGAGGTTGGGATGCTGTGTACAATTTAAGTTAAAGAAATTAATGTATACAATTTAAAACATTTAAAACCTTTGTTTAAATGAAAAGGTTAAACGTTAAAGCTTTAATGACATGTCCATTCTGGATTTGAATGGACATGCCATCAGTGAAAGTTACAAGTCACCAGAAAATCACAGGTTTTGCAGATGTTGGCAAATATGATGGAAAAGAGAATAAAACAATACTGAGATATAAAGTTTTTCTCTTTGTTTGCACTCCTTCTGAAACCCAAAGACTGTTACCAGACTCAACAGCAGCTCAAATACCAGTGAGTTTGAAATGTTAAAATATAATACACTTGACCACTTTCCAGCATTGTTAATGAGTCCCACTTTGTTCCAGACAAACAGTGTTTGGCCCACATTTACTTTGTTGATATCTGCTCACTCTATTAATTAGCAACATCATAAGTACTCAGAGAGCATCTCAGGAGGGGTTTGCCACTCTTTGATAGACTGCCTACAAGAATAACATTTCTCAATATAAAAATTCAAAGAATATGGTTGCATTCTTTACAGTATGCAATAGCATCAAAGATTCAGAAGATGCAGACTACTCGATTCAACAAAGTCAAAAACTATACTGAATAGTTGAAATCCCAAGAAACTGACCTTATTTTAGCCATAAATTTTAGCCATAAAAAAGAGCCAACCACAAGTCAACAATTTGAGATCATATGTCAAAAACAAGCTTTCAAAGAACTAAATAGTGACTTGGACATTAACACTAACTTTAACCACTGGCCAACAGCACAGTTTATTGCTGCATTCACAAATGTGAGCTGAACCTCTACAATGCAAAGGGGGAAAAAAATACATACAAGATCCAGAAACACTGGTGCCAACTCTGGGTCACGCTCATTTAAGATGGGCATAGGTGAAGTGGAAAACTCGCTGTTGCATACCATGCAATCATGCTCTACTAACTGTTCTGTGAAGGCCTATTTAGTGATGAAAGATTCACATGCAGGCACTGGAAAGACCTTATAAGGCCTTACTTATTTCAGCAAGACAATGTTAAACCAAACCCTGCATTTTCTCAAACATCAGTAAATAATATTTGGTGAAAGAGTATGTGAAGGAAACTGGCCCGCTGTCACTCATCTAAAAAAAAAAGTGCTGGCATCAAATTCAAAATCTAAACAATTTCCAATAATTGCTTTCTCACAGATAAGGATTTCAGCAAAAATACATATGAAATAATCTAAACAATCATACTAAATACTGTTTTTATTTACATTTAATTTTTTTTACATTTGTATTTGGAAAGATTATCGTGTCATCCCTGTGTGACTTTGAGAAATCCGCCGCATTCCAATCAATCTAGGCCAACTAAAAGTGCAGCAGTTCTTCTGAGTTATTTCATCACTCACATGAGAGGATCCCGATTCGTTCTTTTGATTTTAATTGAATTCATGACCCTGGGCACACATTTTATCTTGTAAAAATATATGTAGCATCGACTATTGCAGATTAAATCTCACACTTTTCTTTTAACAGACACATTTCTCATAGTTGCACCTATGCAATGCAGTGCAACAAAGGGGTTAAAAGGAAAGTATGTGCGTGCGTAATTAGATCCAGCAAGCAAAACCACGCTGCGAAAACTAACTCGATCTTGGCCTCAACTATGAAGAGAAAAAGTAGGTCAATGCCAGCAGTTTCTTCTCTACCTGTGCATCCCAATATGTCACATATACTGATGATGAACAATATCCGCGAGGAGGACGCAGGCCTTGGCAGAGGATACTGCCCGAGTCTTCTGTATCCTTTGCGTTTTGGTAGAATTTGTAAAATAGCGAATAAGAGGCTTAAAGCCGCGCTTCCCAGACTTAAAGCGCCGAATAAGACGGGCTGAAAAGTGACCACAAACTCTGTCGCCGCGTCTCGGTTCGGGCAGCAGAAAGTCTCCATCCGCGGAGATGCCATGATGGACTGAAGGAAAAAGCAGCGCGGAGAAAGAGAAAGGAAGAAAATGAACTACCGTGCCAGAAGAAAGAAGACAAAGAAAAGAAAATGAGAGGAAATGAATGAGTCCATGACCCAACTGAGAAATCACGGGGTTGAATCATCATGTGCTTCCATTTAATCCCTGCAGTTGTAGCTTAACTGTGTCACACAAAGCAAGAATCCGACAAAGCGCCGTTGTTTGAAAAGGTCTTAAAAGGGGTGGCTTCATCACAGTACTCTGTGTATTTATGTATCAGTTTAAATGATTAACAGAAAAGCCCGCAAATGCACAAAACATCACAATATTATGATCTTATTATATTATATTTACATTAGTGTATAAAAATATATGTAAATCAACCAATTAGTCCCCATTTCTGCTGTTAACCCCTTTGCATGACTAATTCCGTTCATTAGAGAAATAGTACTTTTTTACACAGGACGTGAAATACCACACAGACATCCCCAAACATTTAATCTCTGTCAGTCTCTTGGACAGCTGAAGGTTTCAAGCCGGACAGGTGTTGTGCCAAAAAGTGATTTCTGATGTTTTTTTATGTGTAATATATTTGCTTATTTTGTTAAACGGACTGTAGTCCATTGAATTTTTAAACAGTGTTAACAAAGAAATGTCCCATTTGTAAATATCTTTATGGCTCTGCGTTATTGTACCCGCATTATAATCAATTCAGGCCTCTATGGCCATTTAAAATATCTTCATAAAACCGTGATGTTGTATTTGTTGATCTTTCTGCTGCCCTCTCAGCCAGAGCTCTTTTGAAAAAGACATTTTTAATGTTAATGACAGATTTTACCCAGATGAATAAAGGATATATAAAAGTCTCTTTGCCGAAAAACCGACTGCAGCTTCTACCTTGTGACTTGAATTCTCTTTCTGGCTCAGAATGACTTGATATCATTCATCATAGATATATGTTTGACCAACAAGTCACTTACATCAGTTTTTAGGCAAATACAGGAAACCACTTGTTGTTAGTTGCTTTTTGGCACAACACGTGATTAAGAAGTGTTCTCTGTAAAGGCAGAAGATCTATCCATCCATCCATCTGTATGTATGAGTAAAATCCATGATGCCCTCCTCCTGGAGGTGATGCAAACCCCTTCATGTCTGCATGCATAAACTGGGACTCCTCCACCTTTTGGTGAGCTGTGAATGGTCCTCTGGTGAGCTGTACCAAGTGATCAGTAAACAACTAAACCTAAGTGCTTTGAGTTTATCTATTTGTTTACATTTTCGAATCGAGTCGTATCTGCACTATGCCCTGTTTAAACGTGATCCACGAGCACGGAAAGCTTGGGTCTAAATGGTCTCAACCCATTTCTTAGACTCCAGACAGAAAAGCTGACATGTGGTGCACTGTGCTTGCATGGGTTAGCTGAGTCTTGTATGAAGTCCAAATACAGGAGAGGTCATAGCTGCTAGATCTGCTTGCCTGGCCTGAGATCTGAGAAAACTGGTGGACATTTGAAGCAGATTTATTTGGGGAACAAAGCATCAAGGGCCTTCATTATTCTGAAATACAGAGAAGGCATTCATTCAGTTTGCAAAGAGCTTTTCTAATCCATATGCACCTTTCCCTGACAAGGCACAAAGTCAATTGTACAGCGAGTGTGTAGCCTGTTGCCAGAGATTAACAGCTCCCATAGGAATACAATTACAGTATTGATTTGCTTTGAACATCTGCTCTCTGTGACTGCCCTCTGCTGGTCTGCATATATTCTATAGCTCTAAAGAATTGAGCTGATGTAATATGCAATTCTTACATTATGCAAAATACATTTTAATAAATATTTTAAATGAATTAGCTGCTACCATGATTGATTACAGATTTTATTTTCTGTAATTCACACAGGACACAGACCAGTAATAATTAAGCAGCACATTTACTGTGTCCAGGTCCAAATGCATTTACTTTTCAGCTGTAATGTAAATAATATTAGGTAAGAAATTTTAAAAAGAAGGTTGCTTTTGGGTAAGAAAAGGTGTTAAGCAATTTATACATGAACAGTAGAGGCAACTCTAGAATGGAAAATGGACCCGTGGGTGTGCTAAATTAAAGGAAAGGTCAGCAGTACACCGACTCATGTCAAACAAAGTTTTGCCAAGTCAAAGGTTCTAATGCACGAGGTCTGAACCATTAAAACATCAACAACCAACAGTCAGCTGTGTAAAGCCACAGTGGAGGAATGAAATCCTTAGCAGGAAAGTCTGTGTGTGTATTATATTTTGAGCTTCTCTCCACGTGACTTCCTTCCTCTGAAACTGTTGGCCATCCCCAGAAATAAAAATGAGATTGCAGAGTGTATGAAAGTCTTTGGTACCATTTTGCTGCTTTCCTTTGCTCTCTGTGTCTCATGTCACATGTGCAATGACTGTAATTATTTCGTAAAAATACTAAAAACTGTGTCACAGGGTGAAGTTGTAAAGACTGATGGCCACAGGTAGGAATGATTTCCTGTGATGTTATGTGGTAAGCAAACCGGGACAACATCCTCCTTTCTAACACCACCATCAAAAATTCAAGCTCCACACCCACAACATTACTGGGCTTTGTGGATCAGTTTGTTGAGTCTGTCTGATGCTTGTTACTCTCAGTCTGCTGCCCCAGCATACCACAGCGCAGCAGATGGCACTGGTCACCGCAGACTCATAAAGCAGCCACAGCATCATCCCACAAATATCCCACAAATATCAAAGGACCTCAGAAAATCCAATAATATACCATGGCATGAAGCGTTATTGCTGAAGAAAACTTTCAAAATGATTAGAGCTACTTTTAACAAACGAGTTGCAACAAAGTGAGCGCTTTATGTCAAATAACAATTTTCAAGAAAATGTAACCAAAGTCATAAAATCTGGGCATAATTTTAAAGAGCTTATTATATCCGATAACTGGAAACAATATACTGCATGAAGATCAAATTCTTTAAATGTAGAAAGTCACTCTTGCCTCCTAGTTTTTAAACCAATGATACATAATATTTTTCTGAGGGGGGCACAACTTTATAATAAACATCGAATATTAATTTCCCTTTATTAAAGTTAAAACGCCAGAAACCCCCTCCCCCAGCGCCGCCCATGTTTCCTGCTGGAGAGGATGGGTGTGGAGGTACAGTGTCATATTACACACAAACTACAGACCTGTTCAACAGGCGTCTTTCTCTCGTTTTCTGCACCTCCATTGGCTGAGACTAAAACTGCTGCTTGAAACTAGCCTGCTTCCTGAATGGCAAACACTTTGTGTGACAGGAAATAACACTGACAGAACCAAGGTCAGTCACATATCTACTGAAAAAGATCAAAACAAAAACAAATGAGGACAAAATATATTTAACTCCTAGTTGGACACAGTTCAGTTTAGGTTCCAAAGGCTGTGGCGAAAGACAACCGGGCCACAGAGGAGCTTTTGAACCCACACTGTGAGTTATGTCTGCTGGACAGAAAAACACTCCGCGAGACCCTACATGTCAAAGTGGAACTGTTTGTTTCTCAAACCCTTTGATGAGTGGTGAGTAACAGTGCAAGCTCACACTGCAGCTGGGCTCTATTTACTGCTTTATGCAGAGACTTTCATCCGGTCTTCTAATGTATTCATGTACCTATGCAGGTAGGTTTCTAAGTTAAATAACTATTTTATTTGTCTGCACAAAGATGTTGAATCAGACTGGTCTCCAATTCACGAAGCAGCCTTTAACGGACGTCTCCTCACCCTGCAAAAGCTCATTGATCAGGTAGAGTTTAACTGAATATTGTAAGTTGTGCTAAAAGGGGGAAAAAAAGTTGCCTTCCCATAATATTAGATGTTAAATAACCATGTGTTTCTCACTATGATGTGAAACCTTTAATAAGGCGACTGTGTCCTCATATGGCAGCTTGCTTTCCAAAAGTTGCCATGTGCATCTACCTCAATGACTCTATATGTGCTGTGTTTTGTTCACAGGGTGCATGTGTAAATCTGAACACTCTGGATATGGTCTCACCCCTTCATGGGGCGTGTACACAAGGTCACACGGCTTGTGCCAAGCTTCTGATGGAAAATGGTGCAAATGTCAGTAAAGCATCATCATGTGGTGTTGGTTTATTTGTGGTTTTTGGCTGAATTCATGAGAATCTCAAATTTAAGACGGTATGTTGTCAGTTTTTGCTTGAAAGAGACTCACAGTTCGTTCCCAAAACAACCATGTCAATTATTGCCAATATTAACTTATTGATGGGAGACTGCAGTAAGATTTTAACCGAATACACAGCCACGGTCGTGCATGGACAATAACTCATTAACAAACAAACATCAGCTGATATAAAGCCAAATTTGTCCAACCACCGTTATCAGAATGAGAATCAGAGTCAGAAATTTTTAATGATCCCTGAAGAAATTATGTAGTCACAGTCCTTCTAAGACAGTAAGAATACGTAACTAAACAAACCAAAAACATGTGTAAATATTTTTAGTGATTTCTTTATTCATTGTTAACCTTATTGCTATATCGCCATGCATCAGGTAAACAGCTCAACTGTGGATGGAAAAACTGCCCTGACAGAAGCATGTGCTCAGGGGCACGTGACCTGTGTACCGCTGCTTCTTCAACATGGAGCTGCTTCCCTGGGGACCAGCCAGTCCAGTTCTCCAATTCATGTAGCTGCAACAAAAGGTTCGAGGTCAGACTCAGATATGTGAAAAATCTATCCTGGCAGAAGTCCCAAAATCTCTTGAATAGCAGGCAAAAGCAGATTTTTACAGCAGAACCTTTCAAGAACATTTCTTATCATTGTGGTGATTTCTGTTTCCTCTCCCTAGGTCATCCTGAGTGCATTGAACCTCTTGTTCAGTACGGAGCAGATGTGGATCAGCATGTTGACGAGTTAGGAACCCCTCTCCAGATTGCCTGCTCCAATCAGCATCTGAGCACCGTGAGGAAACTATTGCAGCTGGGTAAGAAAGCTTCTCATTTGAACTTTTATTGCTCAAAGAGTATCCATTCTTCCAATATCTTATCAATTGGTGGAAGACT